ATTAATTACTTTATTTCAAATTTAAAACAAGATTAGCAGTTTTCACAAGTCAATTTATGTGACATTACTTTCAGCTCCTTGCACAATTCTGTTTCAAGAATACCTTTATCTATACCACTAAATTAAATTCAGTTTCACAAAGTAAATGAAACAATTTTTTAAAATATTTCCTCCGCTACTTAATGCATTTGGAGGATTCATATTATTTCCAGTCTGTTTTGGTATATTCTCTTAATATTTCTGCCTATTAATTAAAAAATATACTTAAAAAAACATCTTTATGGAAATGATATACGAATAAAGAAAATACAAGGGTGTAAAGGTGTATTTGGGGCTTTTTGGGCAAACAGTTTAGCGGGTAGCCTAACTGAGCTTCCAAGGGTCAGGCTTCATTTTCCGCAATAGAAATGGCCATGACTATTCCATTAATTAACCTCTTTGGGCCAATGCCACCTTGTCTATCAATTATAATTGATCAGAATTTAAAATCTCTAATGTGATGAAGTTAATGGACTTCAGTTTCGGTTTCAGGAGCCCCCACAACATAGGTAACATGGTCTGACCTCTACGTTAGAAATATCTTTAATTTTTTGTTTTTGGATTCAGCTACCCCAAATTACCCCAGATTCAGATTCAGCTACCCCAAAATCATGTATGACAAAACCCACAATAGGGTCCTCATGGAGTCATCTTTCAAAGAAGCAATAAATAATTGGAGCCCCACAGGATTAAATTTGGAAAACATCTTCAACTTCATCATTCAATATGCACTTCAAATTTTACATTAGTCTATTCAAGGCAATAAATGACTTTCAGAACGAACAGAAGTGGGTTTAGCAAGACCAAAAAAAATTGCTATTGGGGCCCCACATAATTGCACCTGCTGGGCTGGCAGTAGTTACACCACTATATTTCATGCTGAGTTAGTAGTTTACTTACCTTTCAGTTGGAAAAATAACAAAGGATTTTTGAATTAGAACCTTCTTTGCAGTTTGGGCTGCACATTTTCTATCTCGCCAATCTGTGCCACATGAAGAATTTATTCACAATGAAGCAATGAATGCAGGTTGGAGCTTTTGGGAAAATTGAAATAAAAGCTAACTGGATTCATTTCAAACTCTTAAAACATTTTATTTTTATATATATTTTCTTAACCTGATAATCTACAATTTTATTCAGTATATCTTAAAATTTCTAATAGTAACAGCATTTTGAGAAGCTTACAAAGTTACAGAAAAATGACATTTATAACCACTTTCAAAATCCCTGACGTTATTTTCAAAAATTCACGATGGCATTCATTTGTGTGAAACTCACCAAATGAGATATAAAAGATAACTAAACCCACAAGAGTAGATGTAGAAAAACATTAAATTAACAAAATTTTAAGATCTTAATTACGCACAAAAAACAACATTAAATGTTCAATATTTTTTGAAGTTCTTTGCTTGAATAAAAAAAATATTGAAATTTAAATTATTCTATGAAAGCTCATTCCAAGAGACATGACGATATACTCATTATATTTCAAGAGAATTGTATACCACGCATTTAACATTAATATGTCTTCAGGTTTTCAGAAGTATTTGAAATTTAACTAACTCTTGAATTTATATGTTAATTTATTTGCAAGAATTCTTCAGTGTAAATCTGGTCCCTAGATTTACAAAGACAGAATTTAACACTTTATGATATTATTTTGGCTATTAAATCAAAGAAGTACTTGATTACATTTTTATCAAGAATATGAAGGTAAAAAATAATTATACTTTTGCAATGGAAACCAGATATTTTGCACCTTCGCCCATAAAACTTTTACTCAACACCACATAGTCTTGAGATAGACTGTAACGATTACTTTCTTTAACATCTGATAAAACAGGTCCTGTAAATTCAAAATGACTTTTATCTGATTTTGAAACCAATTCAAAATTGTATTTGTAACTTGATACTTTCTCATTCTCGCCACAATATTGAAGGCCAAAAAATACATTTGCCTTGTTATGCTTTCTCCAAAACCAAAACAATTCATTATTGAACTCAATCAAACAAAAATACAGCTTCCCTTCTTCAACATCTGACATCCCCAATACTTTATGTTCATGAGGTTGAAGAACACTATTCTGATGTCTATTGATGAAATGATCTTTAAGCTCCATGAAACATAGTTCTTCTTTACATTCCTTGCAAGCATATGATCTAAAAGCACAACCTTCTTCATGTTTCTTGCAATCTTTTTCAGACAGAAATTTTGTGCAGCCTCTTTGTGAATTACAACATCGTTTGAAAGCAAGTAATTCTGAAACTCCTTCAGCAAGAAGATTCCTTGTATTTCCAAAAGATTTACTGCACAGTGGACAATTGCTAAGTTGTTCCCTACATCTCGTGCAAACTGTGTGACCATTAACACACATTTGTGTGTTGCTCATTGTCTCATAACAAACTGGACATTCCACAAGTTTTGTCAATTTACTTTTGAAACAGTCTTCCTCACTCATTTCTAAATTATTCTGAAAACAAAGAAAATCAAAACTATAACACACATTTCAATAATGTATTAACGTATTTGAAACATAAATTAATAGAAATGTCAAATTAAAATACTTTATTAGCATTACAATGAAACCAACAGTGCCATGTTTCGCGCAATAATTATTACTAGTTTGCTTCTACTCATACAATTTACAGTAGCAAATAGTAATAATTTTCTGTTAAATTTGAATTTTTATTGTTGTCAACTGCAGTTTACTTGTGTGTGTGTGAAGAAAAGAGTTTGAATGTTCCTGTGTATTAGTATTATATTTATACAGTGTTATATAGTTTTATAGTATTATATTAGTATATATTTTTTTAAGAATATGAGTGTCATTGTTAAAAATAACACAATATTCAGTGTTTAGATTAAGATTGTTCCTGTGGCATATAACTTGGTAACCAATACTATCATTTAATTAAAATGCAAACAACACATGTTTGTACAGTTGGCGAAAATAAACCAAACCAGGAGAAAACAGGCAGGAAAAAAACAACAAAAAAACACACACACTCACAATGAGGTGCTCTTTACAGTGGGTTTTCAAACTATATTAATGGCATTTTACCTTCTAAACGTAAAATTCATCAGAAGAATACTCTTCCATCTAATCTCTTTGAATATTCTTCCTGAAAACGGGCTGCATAATTTTATGCAAGCAAAAAGAAACAAAACTTGTTGTTGATCTAATTCGTATCTCAATATTTAATAAATTGAATTGTCATTTCGGCTTACAAACGAAGAAATGAGATTTCAAAAATAGAAATTAATTGTGGTGGGGTTAGGTTAATAAAATTCGATGTCAATAAAAACTGATACTCATTGTCACCAAACAAGTGCCCTATAAGCATAAATAAAAAACATACCTCTGCCATTGTTATTTGTGAAAGTTGTTACACGCACGGGTAGTATAGAACCCTTCCAGAAGTGCAAATTCACAAACTTCACACAATAATAAAATTCAGCTAAGAACTTCAGCGCGAGCCTTGAACCTCAAAATAGAAAGAAAACATCTAGCTTCTTCTAATTATGCAACTTCACAATAAGCCGATGATACAATTCAGGCCGCTTCAATCACTTGCACTGCCAGTCCATATCAAGTCAATTCAACAGAACAGTGGGCCGGACCGGATTGTGTTGGGCAGGTGCTGGATGGTCTTCGGCTTCGGCCACCGTTGTCACAACAGAGCACGTGACTGTCGCATAGCATCCCAATGTGCCAACGTGTGCATTCATATGATATTCGCGTACACGTCCTGACTACAACAAAAAAGAACTGATAATATTACAATTTGGCATAATAGTTCATTATATGATATTTCAGATTCAATCGATAAAAAATATTGTCTGTCTGTACTTATAATGTTTTTTTAACGTAAAGTAACTATACATACTACAAATAACTGCATTAAAATATCTCTGTAAATATTACATTTTATAATATGTATCGTTATGTATTATATATTTAGAGAACAAAATTTAGTCATTAAACATGATCATAAAAGCAGATCATAGAAATGGTCTCACGACATGAGAAATACCTAATAGAGTTTAAAATGTAAGTTTGTAATATATTAACTTCAATTATTAGATTTTTTGTTTCTAGTATTTTATATATTTTAATTATCAATTCGAAATTTTCAAATATTTCAATTCGAAAGATAAAATAATAATAAAAAGAATGCGCATTCCAAAGTGGGGATTCCCCGAGAAAACAAAGGTATTAATGAGCAAAGAAAAGAGGCAAAAATAAAATAGTCCCTACTAAATAGCATTAATTGATTCCTTAATAAGTTAAGTTGCTATTGTTTCACCTTTCTGTTATTCCTGGGGAGGGGGGGGGATGATATCTAATAAGACTATCAACAATATCTCGCAAATATTTTCTGAACTAGGTCGTAGTCGTTTCATTTCGTTGGTCCGACCTTGAAAGTTCAAAGAATGTTTTTCATGTAATGGAAATGTTAAATAATGCTGACAATTGATACAGAATGCCATACAATTTAATGTGAGAGAGGAATGTGTATGCTCATACTGCTCCTATGTAATTCCCAGTTATTGAATAATAATTGTTCGTACTGTTCGTGAGAAACTTTTTTCGTCAGGCTATCGTAGTTCTAATTTTTAATTCTCTTCATTAAAAAGAATACTTATTCTTAAAAGGAAGAAAAAACGATAATAAATGGTTAGTTGATTTACAACAAATTCAATTATAGGTAAAGTTTTCTTTACCTGAAAATTAAACGGCTGGCATCTTGCCGAAACATTATTGTAATATTTTATATTCAACACCCACTGTACCACAGTTGAACTCACAGAAATAAATGTTCATAAGACAGGACATCATTACAAAGAAGAGCGTATCTATCCAGAATTTAACTCCTCTGAAATAAACTACTCTTTATGGCAAACAACTACCATAATTATTTAATACATTGTGAGACATTCGTTTTGTTGAAACTTCCACAGTGAATGAACGCAATAAATTCCATACATTAAATTTTTTATTTACTTCAGAGTATTGTTCACAGAGTAGCACGATTGCATGTGTTTCTGGTTACCACAGTATACTAGGCAAGTGTAGCATTCTGGTATTTGAGTGCAACGTGTACTTCTATCGTAAGAGGAAAGATAAAAAGGTTTTCTTTTCTAGTCGGCATCAATCAGTCTTGCCAATACAAGCAGGGATCAAGGAAGATTGCCCGCGGAGCAGCTGTGGACTTACGGTGTTGTGGAGGAAGACAGGAAGTCTAGGACGAATGTGCGCATAGAAAGGCGAATGGCGATAACCTCAAACAGTTTCTTCTCCCTTCATTCCGAAATCGTTTGAAGCTGTTATCATTTGTAATATTGATTTATTGGTGAATGTGGAATTAATATTGAAGTGTTCGATATCAGTTCAGGATGTCAGCCGCAGTGTCAGCAGATCAATTGAATTCATTTTTGGAGGTAAATACGTCAGTATTCCATAGCAATATTCGGTATTCCATTTTAATAACATTGATGTAACAATTTAATGGGTATTGTTGATCGCTTGTAAGCGTAACTCGCCTATGATGAATTCTTGCATGTGGCAATAAAAGGCTTGTAATGTACGAAAGTCATTTAATGTTATAAGAAATACTATTGTTTGCTAAAATATTTACTGAAGATTTGAATTGAAGATATGAGGTTATGTCATAAAAGTTCTGTCATAAATGCTATATCTGCTTCAAAATGAGAATGAAATTAAAACTTCCAAGTTGTAACATATATTCGAAAGTTAGTAAGAAACTTAACCAGAAGTATGGGTCTTATGGATGTGGGCAAAATCAGTGGTCTGGATGTTAATCCAAAAACCAGTGAAAAAGTGTAAAGTGAAGTTAGTATTTATTATTCGGATTCAATTTCCTTTTATTCACGTGAAGAGAAGTGTACATGTGATTTTGGTATTTTAAATGAATTTCTTAAATAACTGTTGCCTTGATTCCTCGCATTGCACAATATTTTTCCCACAATTTTTGGTATTTTCTTTGCCAGGCCAATCTTCTCCAATGGCTTCTGTTACATGATAATTCATTAGCTGATTTGTCATGTTTCAATTTTCCAGTTATGTTACCAATTATTTTAGTTCAGATTAAATTTTTCGCTAGTATTCAATCATGTTTGTAAATTTGTTCTAGAATAATTCTAATTCTGGGCCAAAGCTGTATCTGACCCGTAGGGTATTATCTTCTCTAGGTTATATGTCTTAATTAAACTTGATGAATAAAATAGTAATAATAAAAAATTAATAATTGCCCTCTGGGCAGTTTTTCTTCACTTACATCTCTTTACTCATATTGTTGTTTACATTACCTGTAAAACTAAGATTCTTTAATTTTGTCCATTTCTATTTATAATTTCCTTTTTATCATTTAGAGATTATGACTTTATGTATTAATTGATCTGTCTCTCATGATTTTTATTTTAGAAATGTATGAAGTTTTCTGTCCTTTAGAATGCCCTTGCTACAATGATGGCATAAAATGGAGGTGCATGTACAAAACTTTCATTTTACCCTTCCGTATGGGTGCTTTTGGCACTCATGTGAGCAGGCAGTTGGTGCTGCACTTTTACATACCTTTAGTATTACAAGATATGAATTTGGACAAGAATTAGGAATAATATCCTAAGAAAAAGGGGGGGAGGTTAAAATTTGATTCAATGAGAATTCATTTCTACTGAGAAGTAATGTCATTTTACAAATAAAGCATAATAGTTATTTACAAAAGGAGTATCACAAAATTTTTATTACACTATTATATTGAAGAATTACCTAATGTATGAATATCATACATTTCATCCAATCAGTTCATTTGTACTATAATTTTTGTTTAACTTTGACTATTTATACTGTGGAAGGTAACATACTAACGTTGATAGTAGTTAGGCTATGAATTAGTTCTAATATTACTTCCGTTATAAAGCTGATTGTTGTTGTTAATAGTGGACCATGGATTATTAAGACGCTGTGTTTTAATAGCTCTAAATGCAAAACTGATTGTGGTTTTATTAAGCAGGTTTTCAGATAAAGTGGATACAACTAACATTAGTTCACATCTATCAAAGGAGTCAAATGGATGTGTAGAAATTATGTGTTGAGTACTTCCATTTCTTACTTCCATTCAGTTTTTGAATCGACAATTGAATCATTTATTCCAGAAACCCGTTGAACACCAAAATCTAAAACGTACATCAGCAAAAAATTAGTTTTCTTAGAGGATAGACACATTGTTTAGTGCATATTTTTAAGAAAAATATTCATTTATCAACTGCTTTAATATAAAAAATATTTTGAAATCTGAAAAATTCGGAGACTTTTTCTGTTTTCTCAAAATGAGGGATTTGGTGTTTGATGGGTTTCTGAAATAAACAATTTAATTGCTGTTAACTAAGCAAATGTTCTTTCACAAATTGAGGACTTCCAAAGTACTAGAATGCTTGATTCAATAGGATAGCAAATACTATCTGGATACCTGGATTGGATCTCAACGCAACTCTTAAAGTTAAATGAAAACTAAGCCTATAGCACTCAATGCTGTTAAACCTCTGCTAGAGGATTGTGTAGACAATGGAAAATTAAATTTAAAAATAATGTATTCATCTGGATTAAATTTAAAACTAAAGATGAAAATCTGTGTATTAAGGATCACATTCTGACACTGTCAAGGAGATTTTATGTACCTGCTGAATATCAGTGATACAGGCTTTGCCTAATAGTCAGAGCGAATATCAATGTGTATGTGCAACTCTGTTGCATGCAATTTCCCACTCTATGATCATTTGAAAAATATGAGGCACACATCTATAGTTATCATTTCTGACCATTCCAGTGCGTTAGTGTATCATCACACTTGCAATCAGTCAATAGCAGGTCTTGTTATTTTGATAATACAATTGAAATGTAAGAAAATTTGGGATAATTGCTCATTAGTTTTTACAGTTGGATTTTAAGCAATTGTAAAATATGAATTTTTGGTGATAGAATTTTATTATTTTTCACATGTTTTTGTCACAATTTTAATTTTGAAATATAAAATTGAATTCCTTTTTTACCCTCATCCATTTCTTAGATTAATAATTCAGTGTGGTAGGCCCTGATGCACACTTATCCCTGCCTGTAGGGATAAGTGTGTAAGAGGTCTCTGAATGTTTCATTATTCAAGCGGTAGCACTTGTGCAGCAAATACAAAATAATGGATGACTGTTATTTTATGAATCAGACTATTATTTTATTAATCAAAAACAGATCAGAAATTGTCCTTTTAATAATTTTAGAGTCGGAGATCATGAAAGTGGGATGAGAAACTTAATTTTATAAAATAATTTAGTGAAGTGATAATTTTTACTTTATCAAAACAGTTATAATGAAATATGTACTTCGGTACTTTCTTGTAGAAAAGTACACCTCCAAAGGAATAGTCTACTCTTACCCTATGACCATGTTTTGCTGGGAGTACAGCTTAAAAGCTACTATGAAGAACCATAAATCAAAGTATTTGACTAGTTTCTTCAGATTCTTTTTATGAAAATTTTTTAAAGCAGATTTTAGTGGTGTATGAATCTCAATAAAATTGGCCAACAGAATGTGGAAGATGCAACCCAAAAAGCAGGTTGAAAATATTCTCAAGTGGTTACGATTCAACGTGGCGAAATCTGATGGCTGATGTTTGATAAGTGTTTGCAGTTTAAGCTCCTTGAAGGGCAGAAACATCAGCTAAAGAGATAATTTCACCTTTATTCATAATATTAAACTATCATTGATGTAGAATATTACAATTAAATCAACAGAGGACAGATTGACTTCTATATTTGCAGTATTTTGAAGCAACTTTTGAACCCAATGAAAGCTTTGCCTTTGGGCCTATATAATTTTTTCATAAGTAGTTCGTGAAAGTGAAAGAAGTTGCATTGGATTTATCAAGTCATGATTTGTTAATGAATACTATTACTGTACTTCGTTATCTTTCTCTAGCACATTTTGTGGCGTCGTTAGAAAAATTCAATGCTATTGTTACAGGTCTTTAGTTCATAGGGAGACTCATTTTCTGCTTTGGAATAACTTCAGCTTTCTTTGAGTGGTCAGGAATATAAGCGACGGAGAAATTCAATGTGGGAAAATTTTACATTACATTCAAAATTTTTCTACAAGAATTTCTCATCTGCTCCAACTGTTCCTTTGAACTTTAGCTTAGATTGAAGAGTCATTAAAATCTTTGAATTTTCAAAATTTACACAAAAGTTTGTCACACAAAATTGCTTGAGGTCCCTTTTCATTTCAGGAATGGCTCTGGAGGTTGAACAAATATTGGAATACTCTGGACCTTTTTTAAATGTGCCATTTTTTCTTGATGGGTTCAAAATTTTTCTTCTTCTGCATCATAGATTTAGGCCTTAAGGCCTATTTAAGTGTATATTTATTATTGAAGTAATGCATGCAGTTTTGTTGAGGGATAAAATTTGCATTATTGAATACTTGTGATATTATGACCAAAGTTAAGATTTTGTTTATTGATAATTATATGGTTATATGTATTTATTTAATTTTTGCTTAATTTTCAGAAATTAGACATCCTATGTGAAAAGCTAAAAGTTGAAGATTGCCCAATATGCGACTTGAAATTAACAGAAGAGAGAAGTACCTGTACCAATGGGCACGGGATTTGTGGATCTTGTAAATTGGTCGTCAATGTGTGCCCTGTGTGCTACGCTTCTTACCCAGGGGATGAACCAGCTCAGGGTGCTTCAGCACATTCTCCCCCGAAGCGCTCTCGCCAATCTACTGAAAATGGAGAGGACATGAATGTAGATGAAAGCGGGGAAAGTGGTGATGGCAAAAGATGTATTAATGCACCAAGGGGTTGCCAAGCATTGATTTCTGAAAGTGAATTGGTTGCTCATGAAATGTACTGCCCTTTCAGGCTTTATACTTGTAAAATATGCAATGTAGAATTTTGTTTGCGTAAACTTCAAGGTCATTGCGAAAGGTCCCATAAGAGTCCAAACAGAGTAATAAAGAATGACGTTTTTCTGCAAGTTTCACCAAACGATGTTCAGAATTGTGATAGAGTTTACTTTTTCCTGCATGTGCATAATGAGATATTTTGGTTCTGGAGAAACAATACTGAGCGTTTTGTATACTTTGGCTTGCAGTATTGTGGAGATCCTGATAAGGCAAATAAATTTCAATACACTTTGGAAGTAGTTTCTTTGGATAAGAAATCATCTCTGAAATTTGGTGGACCTGTTCTTTTTGACACTCCGGAAATGCCTCGTTATACCCACTCGGAGGATTATATAATGATAGGCAAAAATATGATTGGTGCTGAATCAAAGTTTAAGGTAACTGTTCGTAAAGTGTGATTCTCATAAGTAACTTTCAATGTGTGCATTATAAATTAATTTTTTTTAAATGCATGTTTTTGATTTAGAGTACATATTTTTATATGATTCAGAACTTTGTTTATATGAATATGGCTGAAATTCAGGAAATCATTCCATCTTGCCTTATTTTAGTGATTAAACAAGTCTTTTAATTTTTTGTATTGATCAAAAACATGCTTTTATTTTCATGTTAAATTGTGAAAGTAAACAAGTCACTAGAAAGTCCAAATTCTTTGAAATATCTGTAGACGTCAGACGAGAAACTTTAGGTACAATTTTAATGTTTAGGTTATAGTGACAAAATTAATTTTTCTTAAATAAACAATTGGGTGAAAATTACAATGTTTTGGATGTGAAAATTATGTTTATATCAGTCCCCTTATTTTTTATGTATATTTTTGTCTGCATCAAAGTACATTTTTTTTCTCTCGTAACACTTTATAAATAACTTTTATACTGTAATCATTTATGAAAAAATTAAAAATGTACATTAAAGAAGCTTTTTTGTAAAGTTATGCTATTAAATGCCCACATGTCTATACAAAGGTTAAACTTGCAATATATTGGTAGATTCTTGCCTCGGTGAGTGGTGCTATGTCCTGGGAACAGTTTCTAGTAATGTTATTGAGCTAGAGAAAGATTATAATGCTTTTCCTCTTAGAGGACGGTCACAGTATGTTAGTAATTATGCCAAGGATGTGGCATCTATCAGACAGCCAAGCATCAATTGACTTCTGACACAAGCCTAGGTTTATATTTAACATACATTTGTCTTCTTTGAAAACTCTTCAAGCAAAAGGAATTGTTTTGTTAATTTTGAAGCTTAGCAAGTTAAACTGATCACTTTGGCTAAGATGTACAGTGTACAATTAACATGAAACTGCATCCATGAGAAATTTAATTGTTATCCAAGTTTCGTCACTGTAACAAAACCCCCTGAACGTTCTCAAAATTGTTTCCATGCTTTCTTGCTCCAGCACCCAATGTACCGAGAGATGTGGGTACCCATGAATTGTTAATTTTCTCTTTCTTTTGAGATGAATAGGGAAAATGGATTCCTCTTGGAAGATAGAAATGTTTCAGTAGAGTTGCTTTTCTGGATTTAAAAGCATGATATTTTTAAATTAAAACCTTTTTTGAATATAGAGGATAGCTTTCTCGTACATTTAACCCTCTGCACAACAGGTAATCTTATGGAAATTTTTACAAACTCCTCACGCAAATTGTACTCATGGTTTGTTTGTGAATTACTATCACACAAAACTTCTACTTCCATTTTAGTCTATGCTATTTTAATGACTTATGCCGTGTAGATTTTTATTGTGTTATAAGAATGTTCCGTAAGCACTGAAACATATTGACTGAATTTTGATAAATTTGAAAAAAGATAAATCATTTTTAATAATTATGAGTAATCAATGTTGAAAAATTAATTGTATTGAGGGTGTAATATTTGAGTTAAATGACCCTTGTTAATTATAGTAATGGGTAATTGCTCCCTTTCATTTAATATACATGATTGACACGTGAGGTACAACTAATATATTTGCTTTACCATATTAAACAATAACTTAATTTCAAGCCTATAGGATTTGTTGTAATGCTGTAGACTTCAGAGACAATTTCTCGTTGTTTTTTTTAAATTTTTTTTTATATATATATTTTTTTTAATACTGGAATTGGAATGTGCAATGATTTATGTAAAAAAAGACCTGCTCTTTCATTTCTCGAAGGGAGAATTCTTGTATTCTGGTAATTATCTCAAACATGTTGGTATTTTGCAAGTTTAATGGTTCTTTGTAAAGTATTCTATTGCTTTGTGTGAGTCACTTTATGTAGTTATTTGAAGTCACTGCAATCTTGTTACACAATGTAAAGAATACGATTTTGCGTATAATTTAGAATAAATAATGATGTTAATAATTGTGTCATAAAGTGACATAAAATATCTCAAACTGTACTGTTTATAGCATTGTGTTGAGAAGAATGTAGTTTATTTTAAGAAAGAATAAATATTTGAATTTCTTTTGAATGTGTGTTGATCATCTGCTTACATGGAGTTAATAGGGTTTTTTAAGTATATTAATCTGTAAAGTTGCTGCTTAGAAAAACAAAAAATACCAGTTAATTTTTTCTCAGTTAAATCTCAGTTAATTTTTTTCTAACAACCACTTCACTAGTATTCAAATTATATTAGGCTCCTTGGGAGGAAAAATAAATATAAGATTTTCATTTACTAATTTCTTTTTGATACTAGAGACTGGTGTCAGCCATATCATTTGTTGTTAAAGATCCGGTAAAGTTATTTGCGTAATTTACATTTATGTCAAGGTAATATAACTGATTTGCTGTTTTAACTTCCTGATCAATACAGTGGTTTCCTGAACAAGTGAGATTACAAAAAAAATTTGAATTTTTACTTGCTAACATACAACTTACATAGTACAATTGTAATGCTGCATCAAAAATAGTGTTTTTCAATAGAAACACTTATATTAAGGGGCCCTGATACTGAAAATTAAATTCAGTTTTTTATTGAATTCTCTGAATTTTTGAAAATTGCAAATGTGAAAATGTTTTCAATGTCTTCCCTCAACTACAGTATTGAAGATTGAGATTTTTCTTCTGAGAGAAATCTGTTCTTTCAAATTAGTTCAAGGACAATTTTTTCATAATATGAACATTTTTGCATTATTTATATGAAATTAGGCAATTTTTAAAACAAAGATTTTTTTTTTTGATTGCGTGAAGTACGTTTATAAAAGTAGCTTAAGTCAGATTTGCTATTGAACTCTTTGATTTTTCGAAATTTGTAAGTTAAATAATGTGAGAAAGTATGTGCTGTTGAAGCACCATTAGTTTAAAATTGATTTCCAGATCAATGATTAAGCTGCAGATTTTTAATATTTGCCATTTTTTCCTTCAATGGTACACAATCTTTTAGGAATAGGAGTATTATATGCAAATTTGATCGTGCCTACAATGCCTATTTTATGTTGAAATGCCTAAATGTTGCCTATTCTCGCATTTATTAACCGAAAGTAATCATCCTTATAAAAAAAAATGCACTTTTTTCGTTCTTATCCTGCAGGGTACAGAAACATCGAACCGACGATATATCTATGTTCCGTTTTGCTGCCACCACAGTGCGGGTGTTTTGTATTATACAACAATGCAAACAGTGCAAAATCATTGATGGTGGTTAAAATATTTTTTACTTCGTTTTTTTTTTTTTTTTTTCCCTCCCTAACATCTGGCTTTATTTGCCCAATTTTTCACTCGAACATTCGGCAAAATTTACAATCTGTACATTTACATTATTGACATTGTAAAGAAAAAACCATCCAATTCTGGTTTCTTTCTAAAATGGTTTTAAAACTAATGTCCCAAATTCAGAGAGAAAAAAACAAAACCAAAACAAGAACAACCAATAAACAAAAATCACATTGAATAACAATAACATTAAACAAAACAAACAAACATACCCAATAGTTGGCAAAGCATTGTGGACAAAAGGATAATTATATTCTACAGTAACAAATATTTTTAAAAGAAAAAATTAATTATTGTATATCTGTGGTCCAGAATTCAAGAGGATGTTTACTCTTTTCAATCTTCTTGGTCATTGTGCTGTTAATCCTAAGATGTTTACGGCCAGATGATTTAATATTTTGATTTTCGAGTCTCTGTGGTATTTTGAGAATTTGAGCAGTGATTCCTCTTTTAACAGTTTAGGTATTGAGATTTCTTTATGTAGAGTGGCGTTTGATAGCATACCAGCGGAGCATTGCTTAATATTCTGAGACATTTGGGATGAAATCTTGAATTATTTCTATATATTGAATGTGAAAGCTGTTCCCCAGAGTTCAATTCATAAGACCAGATAGGTTTTGAGTATTGTTTTTTGTAAATGTAAAATTTTGTTTTCTAGACTTAAGCAAGATTTTCTTTCCTATTAAACCCATATTCATATTGTCTACTTTCAGTTTCTGCTTCCTTTCTTTATCGAAATATGTTCTTTCAGGGTTAGCTTTTTTGTCGAGATTGTAGGTTCCCGATGATATTTGGATGGTGGTCTAGTTCTCTCTGTTAAGTTGTCCGTCTTATTTCTATTTTATTGTATTCTTGTTCGTCTGAGGGTAAATGGTAATACATTTGACTTTGTTTTTCATTCATCTTATTCTCCAGGTTTACACCATTTGTTCTATAAGTTCGAGGGTTTCTTTTATCTCTC